TCATTCAATCGAAAATTCTCAGTGTATTCATTTTTGGACAATTGCAGCGAAGAAATTGAAATAATTTTAGTGTGTACGGTTGTAAGTACTCGCGTAAAGTAACATAACGAACTTCTTTCAGCAGAAGGCTACCGTTGTAAATATCCAGTACTAGAAAAAGCAAATTAGCAAGGCTTACTTAGATTCAGTCATTAAAAGTTTGCTTTTCTGCGATGTTACAAGCTTTCACCACCAGTCTTAAGCAGAAGGTGGTTTGATGTTTATTCGAAATATTAATGAAGATGGCCCTGGATATTCTCCGACTGTTTTGGTAGAGAACAGGCGAGTTTCTCTAGGACGCACACTAACGTATTTAAGACAATTGAACTCAATCGAGACTTTCACCATAAAAAACCAACTTCTTCCTTGGCACAGCTTATGTCCTTCCACGAAAAAGCTACTCATTTTCCTTAATACCTCATCATATAATGGGGAATAGATCACTCAGCAACCCGAGAACCGTAGATGACGCATTTGAACTTCTGTTCTCGCTTTCATGTAAAGATTTACAAAAAGAGTAGATTTTAAAAAACTATATGTTTTTTCTACAAAAAAATAAAGAGTCATGTAGCAATCTGATGTCTGGATTATAGATAAATCAACTCAAACAATAATGTGACGAACAACTGTTCAGCTCTGGAATGTTTAAAATAGATAAAAAACATAATCTAAACTCTCATTTCTCAAGCTTTCACAAAAAGTACCACAGATAAATTTTAACTCATCATTGAGCCACACTTTTAGTCTTCTTTATTACCTTTTATAAAACTATATGCGGATCAGTAAGCTTCAGTTTTCCTAGATCAAACGATAGACAAAACTATGGTATTTCGAAATATCTCACGTTTTTATTTCAACAACCGTCAAGGATACTAATGGGACTTTTTTGTTTCACAAGGATATTTGTAACTCTGACCTTGGAATAGAGCAATCCTACACTTACCCGCTTTCTCTGTTGTATTTAATCTATAATTAAGTACATTATTAAATACCGGATCCAAGCGTTCAAATACATATGGTAAAGGGCTTAACGCACAAAAGATTCCATTCAATAGGAAATAAAACATGATACCATCGGGATAATTTCGAAGCCAATAATCACTTTAATAGCTTCTGATTAACATGTCAACATCATTTTCACTCAATGGATAACGAAAGCAGTAACAGTTAAACCGGAATTGGAATTGTTTCAAATTTAACAATTTTTCAATTAATTCAGATTGTAATTCTTGTCCGTTTATTAAATGCCTTATAAATAATTCAAATGATAAATATTCAAGCGAAGACGAAAAGTTTCTAACGATAAAATCTTTTAAATGCTGATAATTAGACATAAGACATAATGACTCAAAGGCAAATTTTTTTAATCTCACTTTTGTGACAGTATAACTGATTGTTTTATTATCATTGTCCAAATCATCATATATTCTAACATCACAAGATTCAAGTGAAGGTAAATATTCAAATAATATTAATAAGTGTTGATATGATTTTAAAGTCAATCTAATATTTTTTATGGATAAACATGAATGATAATGATCACTCTCTTGTAGAGATAAACATGAATGGGTAATTGATAGGGTTTCAAGTTTCGAATCATTATTATCCACATGAAGTAATATGGAAAAAATTTTCTTTGATAAGTCCTCACTATACATCTTTCCTTTTCTCGTAAAATAAGTGATTTTTAACGATAGTAAGAATGTTTGAAATTGATTTAAATAATTGATATATGTCGGATTTACAGATGATACACATATTAAAATAATAGATTTAAGACCTGGATAGGTGGAAAATATGTTACCAGATGTTGAAAATACTTGTTCTAATTGTTTATCACCTAATTTTATTGATTTTAGAGATGATTTCAAAATAAATTGCGTATCAAAATCAACCGAAACGATAGATATTCGATTTATATATGGCTGAATAAGCAAATTTAGACGGATATTCAAATTTAAAAATGATTGTACGAGATGCGTCGAATGAAGATGAAGGAAGATATATTCAAATAATTCATTAGGTAAATGTTCAAGTTGATTTGTCATTACTTTTTTCTACAAAACAAAAACATATTCTTTTCGATAAAAAGAAAATTTGTGTTCAAATCACTACCATTT